GGTTTTTTCTTAGCCATACTCAAGTCTTAAAGATTGTCCATTTGGCTACAGTAATTATAAATATTCTGTTCTTTAGGTCTTGAGTAGTTAATGACTGATCTGTTTTTCCAAATACAATCTCCTGGTAGGTTATTTTTGTGTCAGGGATAGGTACAAGGTTATTTACAGAGTCCCAAAAATTACCTAGTCTTTTACATCTCACAAACATATGTTCATAGTCTTCATTACTTCCAAAGTTACATAGTGTACATGTTGAATCAAATAATTGTCAATTATCATCTTTGATACCCCATTAGTGTAGATTGTGTGCACATTGTAATATTCGGTGTAACAGTTTGTAGTTAAGATCTGCTAGCTTCGTGTCTTTACAGGTCTGAGTGCTTAATAGACACCAGATTTTTTCCCATTTAAGTGTAAAAGTTGGAAATTGAGCTTGCCATTTTTTGTAACAGCTTGGCTCCTTGGTATGTGTACGTATAAATGAACTATATATGAATTTACAGATGTTTCTGATGAAAATTTCCTTACATGTTTTACCATAAAAAATGTGGGGGGTCAGGGTGCTAAGATTTGATGTTTGGCAGGGGATTGGGCCTATGTGATTCCTAATTAGATTCTTCCATGTAAGAGGTATAGCATGAAACAGTGTTACATATTCTATGATACCATAAGGATTTGTGTTTAGTTTAAGAGTCTTCATTAATAAGTCTTACATTTTGCCCAATGAATCTACCTTTGATATAAGCAGTTTGGTCATTGCCAATTAGTTTTTGTAGGACTTTCTTTAGTCTGTTGGCAAAAACAAACTCAAATATTTTATATTCAGTGTTGAGAAGGCTGATAGGTCTCCAGTTGTCCAGGTTATGACGTTCATTTTTCTTGTGTATTAGCCTTAGTACTGCTCGTCTTTTTGATACAGACATTTTCCCTTCATTTAGGGTTTCCTGGATAGAGTCATAGATAAGGTCCCCTATAACAGGCCATAATATTTTAAAGAATTCTGCAGGAATACCTTTTAAGCCAGGGCTTTTGTTTTCTTTCATTGACACAAGTGCTTGCTTGCATTCATCCTTTGTAATTGGTCTATCTAGGAGTTTTCTGTAATAGGTTCAAAACATTTTCTAATTGTATGCTATCTAAGTATTGATCCATTGCTAATTCACTTATGCTAACCTCCTGGTATAGTTTTTCATAGTATTTCTTACATTCACTAAGAATATCAGAGTCCTTCCTAACCTCTCTCCCAGCAATAGATAGAAAGTCAATCTCTTTGTCCATACCTCTTTTCTTTTCCAAATTTAAAAAGAACTTAGTCGGATTTTCCCCCTCTTCCCTCCATTGAGCCCTAGCTCTAACATAAGCACCATGTGATTTTCTCTTATATAGGTCTTCTAGGTCAGATTTTGCCTGCTGATAGTTTAGTATGTGAGAGTCAGAAGGGTTAGTGTCAATCATAGTTTGAAGAGAGCAGAGTTTTTTCTCCAGCATCTCTATTTTTTCTCTGCTACCTGCTGGCTTTCTTAGTTCCATATTGTTTTGAAACCTCAGCTATTTCAATCATACATATATCTAGCTTATCCCTCTTTGATTTAGTGTTCTTGTTGTTCTCTTGATTGATTATCCCACAGATTTTCTCACAACATTCACTGTCTCTCAATAAATCTACATTTAGTTTAAAGATTCCAGGGCCCCTAGCATAATTTTGGAATTTTAGTCTTAGAAAAATAGCTTGATGGTCAGTGTGGATTGCTGGCCTTATATCACATTTGTCAACTTTTCTTTCAAGAGTCTTGTGTAGTAGCCAAGGCCTACAAGCTACATTTATGGCAAGGGTACGATATGTGAATTGTTGGGTAGTGGGGTTAACTGATCTATAAGCATCACATAATTTCAATTTAGAACATAACTTTTTTTATGGCATTAGATGACCTTTCTGCAGTGTCAAGTCTCCCTCCTTTTTTATCAAGGTCAGGGTTTAGTACACAGTTGTGTTAGGCTTGTGGGGTCATAACTACTTAACCATTCTGACAATTTCATAAGGTATTTCTTTCCTTTACTCTATTAGGGGCATAAATATTGACTAAACACATTTCACCATTAATAGTGCAATTTAAGAGTTCTTCCATTGCTTTCTAAGGATTTAGTGTCAAGAAATGTAAATATGGCTGAAGGTTTAATCAATATTGCAAGTCCCCTGCTACAATTAGAACCAAAAGCTTGAAAACAAGGTTAATAACTTAGCCCCTCTCAGTGTGTCGGCAAATTACAATTGCGGTTGAAACATAGCTTTCAGTAACTATTCATTCATTCATTCATTCATTCATTCATTCATTCATTCATTAATCAATCCATCTATTCATTCATCAATCCAACCATTAAAGATTTAAACTGCCCATTTATATATTCATTTACTCATCCATTTACTCATTTGGTCAATCAATCATTTATTCATGCATTTAATGATTTCTTACTTCCGTTCATTCCTTAATAGCCAATGGCTCATTAATTCCTAACAATTCAGAAGTACATTTCCTCTAGAATTCTTACCAGAAGATGTGACCAGTTTCCCCGGACCGGCACTAGTGCCATGGAGGTCAAGGGTGTTGTCAAGAATCGTGTTGATTCGCTGTAGGAAATCGGAGTTGTCTCCCCCCTTTCTACGACTGAGCATGCTCAATGCGTCCTCCGAATCACCTTGGTGGTCGGGGTTAAGAGGAGTTGACTACAAAATGAAAAAAAAAAACAACACGTTACTGAAGTCACGTGTCTCTTCAGTCACGTGGAGGAAGTGACGGGTCATTCCGTGAACAAGGGGTAAGTCCCAACTTCATCCCAGTGTTGGAAAGAAAGCTTAGACTTTTCTCTAGAATGATGTGTACCAACACAGATGGACTTCCATGCTAAGATTGAAAGTGATTTTGGCAAGAATTGCTTGAACAGTGTCAGAAACCTTGAGTGAACGTGCAAGAAGATCGCGCGGTTTAGAAACCACCTCCGTTTCAATCTCCATTGCAAGCATAACAACGTGACGCCGGTGAGTTTAACTTTACGTCTATCTAGTACTGTCCAAGGCAACAGAGCGAACAGTATCTTAAAAATTGCGGAAAGACAACTACTCAACGTTAGGATTAGTCAAACTGTGCATATATTGGGAAATCTAAACAAGGAAAAAAATCGGTTAGATTCCAACATCGGAAATGCACTTCCGGTCACACTAGAGGAAGAAGACGGGGCGAGAGTTTAAAGGTCACAGCTGAATGAGCACATCGCAACGAAAGGAAGGCAGCAAAATAAATTCGCAAGACTCGTACAGAAAAGCCAGGAGAACAAAGACAACTCTCTAGCGTCGGAATGTATTAGTAAGTGGGTTAGACACTTAACAAAGTCGCCACACTCCGATTCGGGCATCAGCTATTTGAGAGCGTCGTCCCAAGCTTGTCTGTAACTCTGCGCAGGTCGGACTCCTCGCATTCCTCGATCTTGGAAGTTTCCGCCACTTCAACACTCTCCGATCGGACCGGGCAGCAGTTTATATGGACCGGGCAGGGCAGCTGATTCCGAATACCCCTGACCTCCCAACGTTCCTCAGTGCTGATGTAGCAACAAGACATAGTCTTTCACTTTTTCCCAGCAATGACTTTGCCTGGGAAATAGCCAGCCATGGGAACACGGACAACGCACATCCTCACACACCGTTACTGGCGTCTCAACTGACAGATTTGAAAATAGTGAGACAGGTCGACAGTTGATTTGCTGTTCTTTTCAAATCACGTACTACGTGAAATGCAATTGGCTATCGAGAAATAATTGTTTTACTGTGAACTTTGCACCGATCAAGCTGTGAAAAGGCGCGCTCATGGCTTGTCTGATTCTTTATTGTTCAGCGTTGCCCCATTTAGATGCACGCTAAAACAACAATGAACATTTGTGTTATAAGAGCATACGTCAAAAGCGCTTTATTTACTTGTTCGATCCGCAAAAGTCTTGAAAACTTCATATCTATACAACAAATTAGATCCCTCCATGCAATTAGATCCTTCATCATTCATGAAGCTCCTTGCTCAATGATAAAAACAATCAAGGAGCTTTCATCGACTCCTTGAAACACTATGATGACCATCTTACGATAGTTTAAAGCTCTTTCTTAGGACCAAAGATTTTCCCCCAATTTGACAGCCGAATCTCTGGTAAATGGTTTATTGCACAAAAGCATATTGCAGCCTGACGGCTGAATTGCACGTTCATTTACCATCAGTGGGATAATAGACTTTGACTGAATTTTTGAAATTCTAAAATCAAACCATTGAGCATTTAACAGAGAATCTAAGTAAAGAGATGTAATGGACGTAAAATGACAAGTTGCGTTTCTATGATGCTTTACTGTTTGATAGATGCACTGTATGAATGTTGAAAACGCATTGAAAAATAAAAAAAGTTGTTCAGCATTGACATGGTGTTCTTTCCGCTTGCTTCTCCATGTTATCTTTACAAAATCATGACTAAATTGAGGATTTTACACCTCAGTGAAATATTAAGAGGCTTTGTGATGGTTCTGAGCTGATTTCGTTGCATTTTTTCAATGGCTGCCATATATGGCTACTCTCCAAGCAGAAGTTTGGGTTTTGGCGTGTTTTTAGGCTTTTTTCATGCTTTCTTTTTTGCACTGGAATCTTTTTTTACGCAAAAGAAAGATAGCAATTCAAAGAAGAAAGCCTGATAAAAAAGCCCCAAAATAAGCCAAAACCTAGACCTCTACTAGTGAATCACTAGTACTTTAATAGACAGGTGTCCTAAGTTGATGCGTTTGGAATGAAAAAGAAAACACTTTAAGGTATCATAAAAAAAGGTGAAAAAATAGATTGGGAATACATATTACGTGTGACATTTCAAGCAGCAACGATAACCAGGGAGGTTTAAACCTTGTTGAAAAAAGTATTTATCAGGGAGGACTACTTTGTGTCCCAAAAGGCGGATTGACTCCAATCTTGGACTTATGACGTGAAGCGGCCTCCAAGATGGCGGCCAAAATTATCGTATCGATAGAAAAGGGGGACTTTTAGTCGATTGAGCGGTGTTTTGTTTTTCTTTGGAAATATCTACAAGTTGACATAGAGGTATGTGCTCATTTCCATCCTCGTGCCTTTTGTGTTGAAGTAATTCATTTTGACAGAGCGACGTTTTAGCAATCTTTCACTAGCGAAAGATGATGCAGGGGGAGGGGGGTTGTGGCTGTACATCTCATCAAGGTCCTTGATCACATATGACGTTCTAAATCTTAATATATCACACATTTATTTTACCGGCATGATTTTATGCTTACTTCTCGTGTATATGTTTCTTATCTTAGGCATTTCTGGTAGTGGATCGTGTACTTATGTCATGATATTTTAATAGGGACTCAAGTAAGATATATGTAAGTGATTGTTACATATTTTAGATTTGGGCATGAATAGACAATGTTATTACTTTTCATACATACTATTAATAATTTTCATACAGTCTTTTTAGCAGAGCATTATAACTAATATGGATGTTACACAGGCTAGATGACGTGGGAACCAACCATTACATATCATTTGGGAGTTGTTCAAAACTTGAAAAATTCTAACATTTTGTTGCCTGTTGTCATTTTCAAATACAGTGTACTCCCCAGTGATTGTTGTAGTGATGAGAACTAAAAGTAGGTATTAGGATTGCCGTGGCGACTCTTGATTCGGGCTTACATTGCATTACCCTCAGCAAGCCCGAATCAAGAGTCGCCACGGCTAGTATTAGGATTGCCCACGCGCCCACTCATACTATAGTAATAGAGAACAGATGTTTTACCCTCCTACAGTCACTGTATATGAACACCACTTAGAATACAGTCGTGTGAAAAGTGCCTCTGTGTGAGATTGATCCTTACAAAACACTACAATTGTTAATGGCTTGTCCCCATACTGTATATAGTGGAATGGTAAGGTCCGTTTTTTGCACTTGCATTGACAATTTATGTAATGCATGTTTATATAGTTCATCGGTCAGTGAAGGTTGTCAAAATCTATACAGCTGCATGAGTAATAATTTTCTTGTGCATGTTTATACAGTACTTCAAGATACTTTCTTGCACATAAATTGCATGGATCTAAGGTGCGCTTTTCAGCTTGCTCAATTGTGTCAGAAGACGCCTGCACAGATGTTTGTACTTCAAGAATTAAGTATTCGTCAAACCTTCACTCTGGAAGCACATCGGTAAAACGCAGCTGACCTGCGGAAAACCTGTATTTTGCACAGTTTTCGTTTGGTCAACGTTGTCTCTAGCCTCTACCAGGCTTTGGAATGGGACTGGAAAAAGTAGAAATTGGCCAAAATGGAGGGATAACACGCTGAGGGAGTTTGGCCACGGGAGAGAACAATCTGTACCATCCTTGGGTGTGGCAATCTGTTCTCTCCCGTGAACCCATGGGCGAGGCCTCCGTGCTGAAATTAATTAATCGGGAAGTTAGTTGACCTGAGCAGAAGTTGGTATCAATTACACCCTAGAAAATGGGAGGGCTCACATGCGTATTTCGCCGCGGCGCGCGTAACCGCGTGACCGGTTTAATGTTAAGGTCAGTCGGTCCATCAGTGTTTGGTAGGTTCGTCGATTTCAAGCAGGTCTGAGGCCATTCAAATGCACTGCTATGCTATAGTTAGTTTTTGGCGACCCCTCATCACTGGAGATTCATGAATGCAACGATCCAGGGTCCGTCAACATCCAGGATCCCGTTGTCTTTGATGCTGTCCCTGATTTTAATGAAACACTGGAGGGAGACAAGTGAGTAGATTTATTATCAATGGTTTATTTGCATTAAAATACAACAACACTGTCCCAAAAATGGCAGCCAGAGGCTGAATTGACATTGGGGCATCACATTATTAGTATAAAACGTCATATTAAGCGATTAAAATAGGAATAAACCATTACATAAAATGTATATAAAATATTGTCAACAACGTTTCAAGTGCAAATTAATATCGTAGCAGATAACAAAACAGACGGACACTGGTAACACTAAAATAAGTCTTAGGTTAAAAAAAGTGACAGTGTTACATATACATATTAAGCAGGCGGATCATGAAAGGAAGGGCACTATTCTGATAACGATCAGTTCTGCTGCGAGGAGTGTTCAGTTTATAAGCTGATCTGGTTTGACGACCACTTATTGCACTTCTAA